ATTGGTTGTTCAAGGCAGCAATCTCCAGCGTTAACCTATGCCGCCATCTTCCAAGGAGTCATTTATTGATTTTCCCCAAAATATAGCCTTTTTCGAAATGGAAACTCAATACATATGTCAGGAGGCAAAAGATGCTATAACTTTCTTTGTGTATCTTTATAAAGGAAATATACAATATTACAAAATGCATAATCATATATTATAATATATAAGGAGAGGTCAATGGGGAAAAGGAGACATATGTAACACTATGTAAACAATAAAGAATTTACATTAAAAAATAAAATGAAAGAAATGAAAGCACCTATAGGGAGAGTTGTGGGAAAGAGCATTTGTGGAACAACAGGGCTTAATGCCTTATCCTTTTCCCCTTCTCTCCTGTTTAGGATTAATGATGCAGAGGCACTTAATCACCTCCATTTTTTTTTTTACTACTGTTCCAAGAGCAGCAGAAACCAGAGATATGTCCAGTGTGCACTGGCACGCATGGTAAGGACAGCAAGTTGAAGTAGCATAGTGGTGTAGGAGGAGGTAAAGGGGCAAACCAGAACACTGACCTATATGTTTGCCCCAGTCCCCATGTCCACTGACAAAAGCAATAAAACAAATATGCAGGAATAATCCCCAAAAGAAATGTGAAAGATGATTATGAAGAAAACAACACTGAGCAACAAAAAAAATCTAAATAAATATACTTAAATGTAAAACTGTAGATACTAATATCTGCCAATTAATCCATAAACTCAATGTAATTTTAATCAATTCTAAAAAATGGATTCTGCAATAAGTGACATTAGTACAACTAATTATAAATTTAGAGAAAATTTACATACAAAGTCGTGTCAAACCAAATGCGCACGTGCACACACGCGTGTGTGTACACACACACACACGGCAACAAGCACGCACATATTATTAGTAGTTTAAAGGGGCTTACTCTAAAAAGGAAACTGTACTTATGCTAGAAGTAAATATAGGCAAATGTTTTCTACTAAACTTGGAGTGTGAAAGACTGTCCTAAGTAAAATGAAAATATATAAGTCCAACAGGAAAACATTGACAGGAATATGCTAATTAGACTGGATGTCCTTCCAGATAACCTTCTGGATGACCTTCTGGATGAAGCCAGTGCTGCCAGGGAAGCCCAGGTCCCAGGTGCCAGAGACAAGCAGGTGCCAGCAGCCGGGGGAAGGAAGGCCTGCTCTGGCAGGAATTTCATGGATTGGGTCTCTAATATATATATATATTATTTAAAATAATTGTCACAACACAGAAAATGTAAAAGTCTAGATTTATCAAATATGTCACTAAAAATTTCAAGGGAAGAGTTGAGAGAAACCACTGCCTGACACCAGCAAT